TTTATTGTAATTTGTGAAGCCGGAAAGTGATTCAGCGAATGTAAATGCAAAGGTAGAGATAATAGATTACAGAGAAAGCGTATTAAAAGAGTAAATAGAGTTTAATCTGTGCCTCGCATTAGTTTTGATGTTTAGTTCGATCTTGTTTAAATTCAGTGCTTTAGTGGACGATGATTCATCCAATTGGGCGATAAAATTATTTGCAGGTTAGTATTTTTTTTGATTGATAATTTTGCTTGTTAATTTAACACGCGAAAATAGCAAAACGTTTGACAGCATTCTATTCTGCATTGGTTTTGATTTTATATGTCAAATAATTCATGATTATCTGTTATTTATCGATATTGTATCAATTTCAGAGAAAGGTTATGGTTGATGCAGATGTTATTTTTATTTTCATTTTTATTTATTTAATTATTTTCTTTTTTGAGACTACTTCAAAATAATATTTTTATTACTATATATGAATTATTATAATATTTTGTAATTTTAGATCGGGGTGAAGAAATACTGTTGAATGTGATGGAGGGCTATGTGAATGTTTTACTGAATCATCTTATATTCGAGAGCTATACGAGGTTACTTGAGAAAAAGATCTTGACACGTAAGTACACCCATGTTTTTTCTCGCGATAGATATAATCCTGATTAGTACGATTACATATGCCATGTTTTATGAAACATTTTGAGGCACATACTGACATTAGTCGATTAATGCAATTCAATTTTGGTACCGTATCCTTTTCCAACTGTTCATACCTAACCCATTTGCATCACACAAATAAATGAAAAATTAGTAATCACCAAATGTTTTTTTGATTACACGGTGCTTATAATGCCAACAGGTGTGGATGTGCTCGATTTAATCAAGTAGTCTATACAAGTGACTGTTGCATATGAAAACAAATCTTGCATGGTTTATATTGCAAGAACTATTGCATGTTTGTTTTTTCACAATAATCACATCTGGTGCCAAAGCCTCACCTGTTGATGATACAATACGATCAGACAATATTGATGTGGCTTGTTTTTATATTTCTCGTAACGTTCGATTTAATCTTTAGACCTTCTGATAAGAACATCCAAATCAAGAGCACTTTCTTTTCAAAACTCTACTTTTAATTTGTTTGTAAACATTTCAAAATACATATTGGTATTAATTCCTAATTCTTTCCAATAACAGTAAATCCAAGTAGTACTTTCTGAAACTCATTCAAATGTGCTTCCAGCTCTTGGATATGTGGTGATAGATGTGTCGAAATATGTTGGAGCATCTTCTGTCTTGAAAGTCCATGTTTTAATTATGTCTAACACCTTATGAATTTTTCTTTATATATATTTTTAAATATATTTTACATAATACTGCATCCTGCTTATTTGAAAATAGTGGTGTATGTCATTGAAAGCCATAGTCATTAGTTCCATGTGTACCATCAATGCAAACTTTGTCAGTACCTAAATTCTTTATCATTTTAGACTGCATGGTTAGTCATTTCACAATCATTTTCATAAACATAATATTGTACTATCAAGTACGAGATAACTGCATTCATTATTGAGTAATACCGTAAATATACACATATTTTTTTTAAATTAATTTTTATATAATTTTTAATCATTTAATCATTTTACTAAATTTGAAGAATTTACATAAAACTTTTTGTTATAAACCATACAAAACTGTTGTGGTATTAATAACTTCTCATCCTTATTGTCATGATAGGAAATTTTTTCATTCTATCCAAAGTTCAGTTCGTATTGTGATAAAATTCATGTTTGCCAGGAAGATGAAGCATTTTGTCTCTTTACACCCCAATCGTAATTTAGTGAGTGAGATAATGTTCGAATTAAGAATATCACCAATCAAATTTCTAAAATAAGCAACTATTGCCTTTGCGCCGGCTAAAGACGCGTAAAGTCGGTCTCTGAGCAGCTCGGCGATAGTTATAATGCCTATTATTTCATTCATGTTAGACATATTGAGTTAAATTATATTTTTCTGATTTTTTGGAGTTAAAACACACATATATATATATATATATATATATATATATAATGGCAAACAAGCATTTTAACAGAAATTAACAGAATCAAAATTAGTAAACAGTAACCTAAATTATATTAATAATAATGGCATAAGCCATTCGGGCTGCAGCTAAAAGAAAGAAGTTATTAGTCACGATTAATAAATACTTCTGACTTTTACATTTTAATTTACTGCAAAAATACCTCTCATAATTTTAATTAAAAATAAATCTTATAGTGGAAAGTTATCCTCTGCCACACCATGAGCACTGCGCGGCCAACTCTTTAGTGAATGCGTTTTTAAAAAAAAAAATCACTATGGTCTGCTTGCTCCCTTTGATGCGAATAAGATACTTTAACTGAAGATAGAGTATTGTTAAATTAAATTTAAAAATTTTGTACGAACATTAAGTAAAAGAAAACTCACCAATTCTGCTTTTTCCGGTTCCTTCTGGAAGAGCAGTTTGCAGTCTAAAATATTTTTGTATCGGTTTCAACTCCTTCGCTTACCAGCAAATATGGAAATGTACGGGCCAAAAGCGACACGATCGGTCGCACGCAGTAGCATAAACAACTTTGCTCAGCTTTCAAAACTGTACAAAACACAAAATTCCGGTAGTTTGTATATATGTACACGTGCGCGGTACAATTAACTTTGCAAGATGTTTCATAAATAATTACGTTGATTCTTAAATGAAAATAAAGATATATTGTTGCAAATTAAATAATCCAGTAATAATAATATTTTTGTACAAACGTTTAATAATCATTGACAGTATATCTCTCAAAACATGTTGGCACATGTAATGCAGTTTTACATTTTTTGCATTCCCATGTTGTCTGCGTTGTTTATGTTTTGCGCAAACTACACATCTATGTTTCGGAAAATGACTCCACTGTTGAGCCTGCAGGCAAGACTCCTATTGACAACTGTTCTTTACGGTTGTAGTTCCGTAATGGTGTATTTTTCAATAATAATTCGGCTACTTTAATCTTATATTGTGCAAATCACTGTTTTTTTCCATATTTATCTTATGTAAAATGAAAGAGTTAAATAATGCCACATCAAACAAGTAAAAGAACATTTTCCGATACCCTTTCAAACACTTTCTCATTAGAGGGAAACAAGCTAGCATTTGATCTTGTCGATCAACTCCTATCATCCCTTTGTTGTATTCGATGATACACTTTGGTTTTCAAGTAGGCTTATTTTGTTTTTTTAATTGCTCGGTCATTTCTACTGATCTATGTTTTGTAGATAGAATAAAAACGTCTCGTTTATCCTTCCATTTTATTGCTAATAATCCATTGCTGCTTCTCATTTCGTATTCTCCTGTTTTTAATTTTGTTTTTAAGAAATCTTTTGGCATATTTCGTCTTACTGTTGAGAATAGTTATAAAAAGATTTGGTGAAGAATACCAATTGTCCAAATGTATGTAAAATATGCTTCGATAGTTCTTTGACCGAAGTCTCAGATGCATTTTCTGTAGCATGTATTTTGTCAGTGTATATTTTGAAATTATGGCAGTAACCTGTACTGGACTCACATAATTTATAAATTTTTATTCCAAATCTCGCTCTTTTTGATGGATTATATTGTTTATAGGATAAACGTCCTTTAAATTTGACTAATGATTCGACAATTGTAATGTTCTCTTGCATAATGTATACTTCTTGGAATCGTTGGTTAAAATAATTTATTACGGGCTTTATTTTGCTTAATTTATTACTTTTATCGGCTACATTATTATTTCCAAAATGCAAAAATCGAGTTATTTGTAAAAATCTCTTGTACGGCATCGTTTGTCTAAATATTGGAGTTGCAATAACGGCCCTCTTGGACCAATACATTTGAATTGAGGGTTTCTTCACTTGAGCCGCAATTATACATAGGGCAATATATATTTTTAGTTCATCAGAGTCAATTGGAAACCAAGCTTCATCAATTTTCCTTTTTTTTTTCTATTATTTATTACTTGTTACGGGTATAGATTTGTCTCTGTTACAATATTTTCCCAAAATAAACTATTAAACATTAAGTTAAAAATCTCCAACTTTTTTTTGCTTGTATTAAACTGATCGAATGTGGCAGCTTTTATTCCGAGAATTTCCATATATTGCCATATTTTTGGTCGGTTCTCGTTTTTCTTCCAGGCCCACACCATAGGTGGTTGATAATAATTTTCATTATCGGATTCTTCGTTAATCACCAATGGCTTAGCAACTTTTCGTGCGAAACGTACAGTGGCCCTATCACTGTCACTACTACTGGTAGCAAAGTCTTCACTGCTTTGTAATTTACCCCTAATTTTTTTTTCTTGAAGACATTATAATAGGCATTTTTTTTAAACTTTTTTTTCCGAAACTTTACAAACGATGTAACGCCGAATGCGAATGAGAAGTAATTGAACTCGTACTCTGGAATGTCTATGCTTCACCAAGTTTCGGAAATGTTTTATTTATGTTTCGTCCGGTAGACTTACGACGACTCTGAGGCGTCATATTTGTGTTTGGGCCGATAACCTTGCGACGCCTCTGAGGCGTATTTGTAAGCGAAGGGGTTAAAGGAAATAAATTCTCACAAATGCTGTCATCCTCCTGCTCGACACTATTGCGAGGTAGTGCCTTGATAGCAGTTACCACAGACTCATTATAAATTTTATTCTCCTTTACAAAGTAGTTAAAGGAATCTATTAAAAAATCAATAAGAATAAATAATAATTAAGCTATGAATCACTTACTTTCTATGCGTGCAGACAGAGGTTCCTCTGTCTGTGTGCCTTGATCGACAGTGCTCCGTTTTTTGTTTATGGCCTGCTTTTTCCTTGCTATCTGCCTGGAATTCAAAATTAAATTAAATTCTGTGTCAGCGGCAAGAACATTAGTCAAATAAATATGATACGAAGAATTTTATAAAAGTAACTACTCACAATAATCTTCCTCTTCCTCAACTTCACCTTCAAACACCCTTTTGGTCATCTTGCTGTGACCCTTCCTCGCGGCTCATCTTCTGGCTTTTTCATACGAATCTATGAATTCAAAACAAATAAATATCACATAAACAGATGGTGTATAAAAACTATCAACCACCAAAAACACTACAACCTATATCCTAACTAGTTGGTTTGATATTTAGCCTTGAGGCAAATTACATGAACTTCCCGATATGTGTAAATAATCGACTTGATCAAAAAAATGTGTAAATAATATACTTCATCAATCCTACTTTAAAAAAAAAAACGATAATAATTTTAGCAAAGTTTGACGAATTTTTAAAATTAAACTACTTGTTGTAATAATATAAGGCCGTAATATTACAGTAAGTTCTATAAGACCATGATGTATATAGCAAAAAAAGTTGCCATGGAAAAACGGCTTAAATTTTTTTAACAGTTAATTACAAGAAAACGGCTCGGTAGATTTTCACCTAAAATTAATCAGCATCATTCCCAAATGATATCTTTCGAACAGTTTTTGATTTTTTAAAATCGGTTCGGTAGGATGAGCTTAAATGTGGTCGAAAAGTTCAACACTTTTTTTCAACATTTAATTTCAATTTAATTTCGTAGATTTTCACCTAAAATTAATCAGCATCATTCCAAATGATATCTTTCGAACAGTTTTTGATTTTTCAAAATCGGTTCGGTAGGATGAGCTTAAATGTGGACGAAAATTTAACACTTTTTTTCAACAGTTAATTACAAGAAAATGGCTCGGTAGATTTTCACCTAAAATTAATCAGCATCATTCCAAATGATATCTTTCGAACAGTTTTGATTTTTCAAAATCGGTTCGGTAGGATGAGCTTAAATGTGGACAAAAATTTAACACTTTTTTTCAACAGTTAATTACAAGAAAACGGCTCGGTAGATTTTCACACTTAAAATTAATCAGCATCATTCCCAACTAATATCTTTCGAACAGTTTTTGATTTTTTAAAATCGGTTCGGTAGGATGAGCTTAAATGTGGACGAAAAGTTCAACACTTTTTTTTCAAATTACAAAGAAACGGCTTGGCAGATCGTTCACTGACAAACGATAGTCCTCACCGAAATACATCAAATGGCTTTTAAATTTCTAAAATCGGTTCAGGCGTTTTTGAGAAACGTCGATCAAAAGTCTAATTTTGACAAATGCCAAACAAACCATACTTTTTTGCAAACTTTGACGAATTTTTAAAGCTGAACCAGTTGTCGTAGGGCCGTAATATTTTAGTATGACCTAGAAAACTATGGTATCTATCGTCAAAAAAATAATCATAAAAATCGTCGAAATTTTTTTTTTAAAACACTTTATTACAAGAAAAACGGCCCGGCCGATCTTTACCAAAAACTAATCAGCACGATTCCAACCAACTATCGAACGGTTTTTGAATTTTCAGAATCGATTCAGAATTGCGGGCTAAAACGTGGACGAAATTTTTTTCACTTTTCTGCAATTTACAAAGAAACGGCCCGGCCGATCGCCGCACAAAACTCAGAGACGATAGTCCTCATCGAGATACATCAAATGGCTTTTAAAATTTTGAAATCGGTCCAGCCGTTTTGGAGAAAACGTCGATTTACGGCAAAAAATCTGTTCACACACACACACACACACACACATACACACACACACATACTTTTTCCAAATTTGGTCTCATTCGATTCAGAATGGCTTGAAACGTCGAGAAAACCTAAAATTAGCGATTCGGATTTTTTGATGAAAACATAAACTTCTCCTTCGGGAAGTTAAAAAAGTAACTTACGAAAATATTTCACAGATAGTTATTAATTATGACTAATGATTCATTGTAACATTGTAACATTGTAAGGATAAGATATATATAAGCTGAATTACATAATTTAAAAAAAATATTTATTCGAAAAATATAAGTGAGCTTTAGAACTATAGCCAGAATTAAAATTAAAATCTGAATCATTTTCGATATACAAAGAAAAATTTTTTGAAAAAAAAATTGAAATATTTTTCTTTCTCAAAAGTAATTGTTTTGTCAACACAAACAGCAAGTTTTTTTAATCATTCAAATCGG